TCATGATTTATCCTTACATTTGTTTGATCGTTAAATATAGAGTCAATATTTTGTCCATATTTGGACCTTCTATCAAACAGAGACATAATGAATATAGCAGCTCACACAGATAGGAGAGTATAGATAAGATAGTTAAGAATATACTGTGAATCTGTGCAGATAAGGCGCTTTAATCTATAAAGTACAGTAAACGAGTGAATATGAAAGCTGCTAACACACGATAATGGGGACTCTCCACCCCACTTACAATAAGTATACAAAAGTGCACTATGAAACCAACCGGTGTACAGAGCAAAGTGTGTAGCGCTGATTAAAATTAGCACTTACCCCTAAGGGTTAACAAAGTGATATAGTAAATTCCCTACAAGGGAATAAAATAGACACTATATAGTGCAGTATATTAGAGAAATAGTGGTGTAAATAATCACAATAATGGATCCACTCACATGATACAGAGCCACTTAAGGACCGGCTCTGATCTCTTCCACTTGTGTGTACTTAAAGGTGACACACACCTGTATCATCCGTATCAAATGCAGACCTCAAACAAAGACAAAGAGAGGAAAGCTTCTTTGGTGCAGAGATCCCAAACAAAGTGTATATAGATGAAGTGAATTAGGGCTTCTCACCTTGTCCAGAGCCTTGAACTAGGCTCTGAGTAAAAATAGCAGATGTGACAGTATAGGGTGTCACTACCCTCCTTTATAGCAGCATGGACAATTCTTTGAAGATTAAAAATTAACAAGTATTTATTTAAATAAAAATATATAAAATAACAGACGGGTCTACCACAAAGATCAAAACCACCTGCCAATGTTCAACCACAATGGGAGAAAGTAGTAAGGAGGAAACAATTAAGATCCCCAATTAGACAAAAAGAGAGATCACCAAGATCTAACCTAATGATAAAGAACACTCAAAATATGGATATACATAGAAATAAATATAAAGATAGGGAAAATTCTACACACAATAGATTCTTACCATTGGCGACATCCACCAATGGTGAGGATTTTTGGAATGGCCACATGAAGGGACGCCACAAGGACTCCCTTATGCACCATATGTCCCCAGGAAAGAGAAGACGGAGTTTAGAAGAAGGGGAGTTAGAGGAGGGATACGTATACAAAAAAGAAAGGAGGGAAAAATACCCAAGGAGAACGGGATTTTCAACCTTTCTAAACGAGAACTAACTCCATCACAAATAGCATTGTTACAGAAAGGATTGAAGTTCGCACCCACAAAACCACTTGATAAATTCAGCGTATATCTAGATTTAAATAGGTTCAAGAGAAAACTATGTATCAAAAAATTTTTTATGAAGACACCATTAACTAGGGCCCAAGGGATGAGTCAAGAGGGGGATATTGTTCATACGGATCTAAAGGCGAAATCCACATTTTTTCCAAAGGGTTGCATCTCAAATGAGATGATAACCTTTGAAAAAATGGTTATGAGGGATATTCAAAAAGTCAAAAAACCTAAGAACAATAATCTAAGTTTTAAAGAGAGAACAGCATTAAGAGAATTAAGAGAAGATCACACTATAGTGATTAAACCGGCAGACAAGGGAGGAGGTATAGTCATCCTAGACATAGAGGAATATGTAAAAGAATCCTTAAAATTATTGAATGATCGTAACACATATCAAATCTTACCGAAAGACCCCACTAAGGACATCACTAATAGTTACAACATCCTTATTGAAAAAGGCAAAGCACTAGGAGTTTTAAATCAACGGGAATATAAATTCCTTAATGTATCACACCCAAAAATTCCAGTATTTTACTATCTCCCGAAGATACATAAGGATAGAGATAGACCACCCGGGAGACCTATTGTCTCAGGGATTGGATCTATCTCTAGTAAATTATCCCAGTATATCGATAGATGCCTACAAACTATTGTAAGCACTAGTCCTAGTTACTTACGTGATACCATTCATATATTACAAATTCTAAATGACATAACATGGGATGATAATTATCATCTCGTGACAGCCGACGTTAGTTCGTTATATACGATTATTTCTCATGATATGGGTTGCAGAGCTACCAAATTCTTTTTAGAAAAATCACAGAAATTCTCTGAGAAACATATCAATTTTATAATTGAGGGTATAGAATGGATCCTCACAAACAATTATTTTTGGTTTGAGGAGCAGTTTTATCTCCAGACATGTGGAACGGCGATGGGAACGAGGTTCGCGCCCAGCTACGCCAATCTGTTCATGGCACTCTGGGAACAAGAGTTTATCCATGACGATGATGGGTGGGCTGCGGGCCTCGTTACCTATCGCCGTTACATCGATGATATATTTTTTATTTGGAGAGGAGACCAGGATTCTTTAAATTGTTTTCTAAACCACCTTAATACAAATGATTGGGGTATTCGCCTTACTTGCAACTCTAGTAAAACTTCGGTCGAGTTCCTGGACCTTAATATATATATATAGAGGGAGGTGTATTGAAAACTTGCACTTTTTTTAAGAAAGTAGATGTAAATAGCTATATATGCGAAAATAGCTGCCACTTCTCACCTTGGTTGCTAAACGCACCTAAGGCACAACTTTTACGGATTAAACGAAATTGCACTGAAGAAGATAAATTTAGGGAACAATCAGTTAGAATTATCAATGATTTTAGTGAAAAAGGATACAAGAAAGAACTTCTAGAGAAAGCATACATAGAGGTCGATAGCATTGATAGGAATGAACTAATTAAATATAAAGATAAGAAAACAGACCCAGAATTTCAGAATCTGAATTTTATCTGTGACTTCAACAGCAACAATAGATATCTGAAAAAAATCATACAAACACATTGGTCTATTCTAATGGGTGATCCTATGCTTAACTCCATTCTTCCGGAAAAACCCACAATTACCTATAGGGGAGTACGTAATTTAAAGAGCAGTTTGACACACAACCATATACCACCTAAACAACAAACGAAACATTTCCTTAACCAATCATACGGATTTTATGGCTGCGGCACATGTGGAGCCTGCAGAGGCACCAACAGTATAAAATGCCACACAACAGAATTTAATCCCCCAGGGAATGGAACTAAACAATTTAAGATCAAACAAATGATCACTTGCCACTCAAACAAGGTTATTTACATGATCACTTGTCCCTGTGGACTAGCCTATATAGGCAGAACCATAAGAACATTAAACACCAGGATACAGGAACATATACGAAACATCAAAAAAGGGTTTGAAAAACATAGCGTTTCACTGCACTTTAAAGAAAAACATAATTGTGATCCCCACTTAATGAATTTTATAGGAATACAAAGAATTGTTGTGAATTGGAGAGGTGGAGATCTGTTGAAACATATAGGACAAACAGAGATGCAATGGATTTTTAATTTAAACACTATGCAACCATATGGGCTTAATGACGATTTTGAGTTATGTCACTTTTTATAATAGACACCATATATTAGGTGACTTTTTATACATACATATATAGTTTTTAATACTTTTTAATATTTCCTAATATTTAATGATACTTTTAATATATATATTTTTTAGTATATATATATTTTTTAGTGTTAACTATACATTTTATCTTTGTTAATTCAAGACAACATGGTTACTATACATCGTCATTAAGACATATAAATAAAGCAGATTGCAGTTTTTTTACACTTTATAGTTGACAGTATCTTTAAGATTGATGAACCTGATTTTTGTATACTTTTTCTTTATGTATATATACCTTCTGAGTAAGGATGGAGGGTAATGGTGAATAGCACAGTCATTGTAGGAATGGAAGTTTTTCATTCAGACAGCCTATAATTTGCCCAACTGAAATGGTGGAACTAAAGTAAGGGGCGTGACTTAAGAGAACACATAATTTAATTAGAACATTGACGAGATTATATTCGTAGATCGAAGTGACGCCACATCAAAGACTAATGTATACGATGATCGCCACGAAAGGTTAGAATATCGCAGCACCATCAAAGATGCTTCCAACGCCAGTCTCGCGGGCTGGCAGTATCACTGATGACGTAGCCTCAACTCCTATCCATAGTGAAATAAAATGCGTACGACGGCACCGATTGAGAAAGCTGAGGATCAGCGAAACGCGTCTCGGACAACAAGACTGTACATTTGGTCTGTTATTTTATATATTTTTATTTAAATAAATACTTGTTAATTTTTAATCTTCAAAGAATTGTCCATGCTGCTATAAAGGAGGGTAGTGACACCCTATACTGTCACATCTGCTATTTTTACTCAGAGCCTAGTTCAAGGCTCTGGACAAGGTGAGAAGCCCTAATTCACTTCATCTATATACACTTTGTTTGGGATCTCTGCACCAAAGAAGCTTTCCTCTCTTTGTCTTTGTTTGAGGTCTGCATTTGATACGGATGATACAGGTGTGTGTCACCTTTAAGTACACACAAGTGGAAGAGATCAGAGCCGGTCCTTAAGTGGCTCTGTATCATGTGAGTGGATCCATTATTGTGATTATTTACACCACTATTTCTCTAATATACTGCACTATATAGTGTCTATTTTATTCCCTTGTAGGGAATTTACTATATCACTTTGTTAACCCTTAGGGGTAAGTGCTAATTTTAATCAGCGCTACACACTTTGCTCTGTACACCGGTTGGTTTCATAGTGCACTTTTGTATACTTATTGTAAGTGGGGTGGAGAGTCCCCATTATCGTGTGTTAGCAGCTTTCATATTCACTCGTTTACTGTACTTTATAGATTAAAGCGCCTTATCTGCACAGATTCACAGTATATTCTTAACTATCTTATCTATACTCTCCTATCTGTGTGAGCTGCTATATTCATTATGTCTCTGTTTGATAGAAGGTCCAAATATGGACAAAATATTGACTCTATATTTAACGATCAAACATATGTAAGGATAAATCATGATCAAGAATTACAAACTAAAATACGGAATGATAGATTCAAACTAGAGAAATTGTTAGGAAGAGAGATCAAAATTAAGTGGGAGATTGCCACAATGGATAAATATACTAGAGAAAAAATTACTCCAAGAGGCCTACGCTTCTACAAAAGTCCCTCATTCGATCAAGAGGAAGAAGACTTTATACAGGAATGGTCAGACCTCTTGGAGAGTTTTTCATTTGGAATGATGAACCTGATTATTAAAAGACGTACACAGACATTGCATAAGCTCGATGTAGAAATTAATGAGACAAAAAATTCCCTAGTGGAACATATGTCATCAGAACAATATTCCAATACATTAATAGACATCCAGACCAATTTAGAAAAACTAGAGAAAAGTGTAATAGACATTAAGAAAAGAAAATACCAGAGAGATAAAGAAGACTATGCAAGGGGGGAAGTTAGAACACATACAAAGAGAAACAATAGGTTTCAGACAAATAATGGCCAAATGGTAAATGATTGGGATAACAGCCAGCACTATTACCGCAGGGGGAGAAACAATAGCCCTACAGTTAGGAGAATACCCTTACGTAATAAACATTTAAAAGACCATAGAAGAGAGAAGTCACAGGAAGGTCTACCACAAAGATCAAAACCACCTGCCAATGTTCAACCACAATGGGAGAAAGTAGTAAGGAGGAAACAATTAAGATCCCCAATTAGACAAAAAGAGAGATCACCAAGATCTAACCTAATGATAAAGAACACTCAAAATATGGATATACATAGAAATAAATATAAAGATAGGGAAAATTCTACACACAATAGATTCTTACCATTGGCGACATCCACCAATGGTGAGGATTTTTGGAATGGCCACATGAAGGGACGCCACAAGGACTCCCTTATGCACCATATGTCCCCAGGAAAGAGAAGACGGAGTTTAGAAGAAGGGGAGTTAGAGGAGGGATACGTATACAAAAAAGAAAGGAGGGAAAAATACCCAAGGAGAACGGGATTTTCAACCTTTCTAAACGAGAACTAACTCCATCACAAATAGCATTGTTACAGAAAGGATTGAAGTTCGCACCCACAAAACCACTTGATAAATTCAGCGTATATCTAGATTTAAATAGGTTCAAGAGAAAACTATGTATCAAAAAAATTTTTATGAAGACACCATTAACTAGGGCCCAAGGGATGAGTCAAGAGGGGGATATTGTTCATACGGATCTAAAGGCGAAATCCACATTTTTTCCAAAGGGTTGCATCTCAAATGAGATGATAACCTTTGAAAAAATGGTTATGAGGGATATTCAAAAAGTCAAAAAACCTAAGAACAATAATCTAAGTTTTAAAGAGAGAACAGCATTAAGAGAATTAAGAGAAGATCACACTATAGTGATTAAACCGGCAGACAAGGGAGGAGGTATAGTCATCTTAGACATAGAGGAATATGTAAAAGAATCCTTAAAATTATTGAATGATCGTAACACATATCAAATCTTACCGAAAGACCCCACTAAGGACATCACTAATAGTTACAACATCCTTATTGAAAAAGGTAAAGCACTAGGAGTTTTAAATCAACGGGAATATAAATTCCTTAATGTATTACACCCAAAAATTCCAGTATTTTACTATCTCCCGAAGATACATAAGGATAGAGATAGACCACCCGGGAGACCTATTGTCTCAGGGATTGGATCTATCTCTAGTAAATTATCCCAGTATATCGATAGATGCCTACAAACCATTGTAAGTACCAGTCCTAGTTACTTACGTGATACCATTCATATATTACAAATTCTAAATGACATAACATGGGATGATAATTATCATCTCGTGACAGCCGACGTTAGTTCGTTATATACGATTATTTCTCATGATATGGGTTGCAGAGCTACCAAATTCTTTTTAGAAAAATCACAGAAATTCTCTGAGAAACATATCAATTTTATAATTGAGGGTATAGAATGGATCCTCACAAACAATTATTTTTGGTTTGAGGAGCAGTTTTATCTCCAGACATGTGGAACGGCGATGGGAACGAGGTTCGCGCCCAGCTACGCCAATCTGTTCATGGCACTCTGGGAACAAGAGTTTATCCATGACGATGATGGGTGGGCTGCGGGCCTCGTTACCTATCGCCGTTACATCGATGATATATTTTTTATTTGGAGAGGAGACCAGGATTCTTTAAATTGTTTTCTAAACCACCTTAATACAAATGATTGGGGTATTCGCCTTACTTGCAACTCTAGTAAAACTTCGGTCGAGTTCCTGGACCTTAATATATATATAGAGGGAGGTGTATTGAAAACTTGCACTTTTTTTAAGAAAGTAGATGTAAATAGCTATATATGCGAAAATAGCTGCCACTTCTCACCTTGGTTGCTAAACGCACCTAAGGCACAACTTTTACGGATTAAACGAAATTGCACTGAAGAAGATAAATTTAGGGAACAATCAGTTAGAATTATCAATGATTTTAGTGAAAAAGGATACAAGAAAGAACTTCTAGAGAAAGCATACATAGAGGTCGATAGCATTGATAGGAATGAACTAATTAAATATAAAGATAAGAAAACAGACCCAGAATTTCAGAATCTGAATTTTATCTGTGACTTCAACAGCAACAATAGATATCTGAAAAAAATCATACAAACACATTGGTCTATTCTAATGGGTGATCCTATGCTTAACTCCATTCTTCCGGAAAAACCCACAATTACCTATAGGGGAGTACGTAATTTAAAGAGCAGTTTGACACACAACCATATACCACCTAAACAACAAACGAAACATTTCCTTAACCAATCATACGGATTTTATGGCTGCGGCACATGTGGAGCCTGCAGAGGCACCAACAGTATAAAATGCCACACAACAGAATTTAATCCCCCAGGGAATGGAACTAAACAATTTAAGATCAAACAAATGATCACTTGCCACTCAAACAAGGTTATTTACATGATCACTTGTCCCTGTGGACTAGCCTATATAGGCAGAACCATAAGAACATTAAACACCAGGATACAGGAACATATACGAAACATCAAAAAAGGGTTTGAAAAACATAGCGTTTCACTGCACTTTAAAGAAAAACATAATTGTGATCCCCACTTAATGAATTTTATAGGAATACAAAGAATTGTTGTGAATTGGAGAGGTGGAGATCTGTTGAAACATATAGGACAAACAGAGATGCAATGGATTTTTAATTTAAACACTATGCAACCATATGGGCTTAATGACGATTTTGAGTTATGTCACTTTTTATAATAGACACCATATATTAGGTGACTTTTTATACATACATATATAGTTTTTAATACTTTTTAATATTTCCTAATATTTAATGATACTTTTAATATATATATTTTTTAATATATATATATATTTTTTAGTGTTAACTATACATTTTATCTTTGTTAATTCAAGACAACATGGTTACTATACATCGTCATTAAGACATATAAATAAAGCAGATTGCAGTTTTTTACACTTTATAGTTGATGTATCTTTAAGATTGATGGAACTCTGATTTTTGTATATATTCTCTTTTTCTTTTTATGTATATACTCCTTCTTGAGTATGGATGTAGAGGGTAAAATGGTATACAGCACAGCCGAATAGGAATGGAAGTTTTTCATTCCATTGTGCCCATACCTTGCCCTGAACTGAAATGGTGGGAATGGAAAAGGGGCGGACCTAAGAGAACACACACGAATTGTGGGGAACATTGACGAGGACGGCATCTCGTGTAACCGGAAGTGACGTCACACGCACGCTACATCGTGCGCGATGACGTCACGAAAGGTTAGAATACGCAGCACGACGCATGCGCCCAACGCCGTCCGTGGTTGGCAGTATCACGGATGACGTAGCCCTAACCCCTCCTATCCAGGAAATAAAAAAGAAGACCGGCGGCATGGACGGCACCGATTGAGAAAGCTGAGGATCAGCGAAACGCGTCTCGGACAACAAGACTGTACATTTGGTCTGTTATTTTATATATTTTTATTTAAATAAATACTTGTTAATTTTTAATCTTCAAAGAATTGTCCATGCTGCTATAAAGGAGGGTAGTGACACCCTATACTGTCACATCTGCTATTTTTACTCAGAGCCTAGTTCAAGGCTCTGGACAAGGTGAGAAGCCCTAATTCACTTCATCTATATACACTTTGTTTGGGATCTCTGCACCAAAGAAGCTTTCCTCTCTTTGTCTTTGTTTGAGGTCTGCATTTGATACGGATGATACAGGTGTGTGTCACCTTTAAGTACACACAAGTGGAAGAGATCAGAGCCGGTCCTTAAGTGGCTCTGTATCATGTGAGTGGATCCATTATTGTGATTATTTACACCACTATTTCTCTAATATACTGCACTATATAGTGTCTATTTTATTCCCTTGTAGGGAATTTACTATATCACTTTGTTAATCCTTAGGGGTAAGTGCTAATTTTAATCAGCGCTACACACTTTGCTCTGTACACCGGTTGGTTTCATAGTGCACTTTTGTATACTTATTGTAAGTGGGGTGGAGAGTCCCCATTATCGTGTGTTAGCAGCTTTCATATTCACTCGTTTACTGTACTTTATAGATTAAAGCGCCTTATTTGCACAGATTCACAGTATATTCTTAACTATCTTATCTATACTCTCCTATCTGTGTGAGCTGCTATATTCATTATGTCTCTGTTTGATAGAAGGTCCAAATATGGACAAAATATTGACTCTATATTTAACGATCAAACAAATGTAAGGATAAATCATGATCAAGAATTACAAACTAAAATACGGAATGATAGATTCAAACTAGAGAAATTGTTAGGAAGAGAGATCAAAATTAAGTGGGAGATTGCCACAATGGATAAATATACTAGAGAAAAAATTACTCCAAGAGGCCTACGCTTCTACAAAAGTCCCTCATTCGATCAAGAGGAAGAAGACTTTACACAGGAATGGTCAGACCTCTTGGAGAGTTTTTCATTTGGAATGATGAACCTGATTATTAAAAGACGTACACAGACATTGCATAAGCTCGATGTAGAAATTAATGAGACAAAAAATTCCCTAGTGGAACATATGTCATCAGAACAATATTCCAATACATTAATAGACATTCAGACCAATTTAGAAAAACTAGAGAAAAGTGTAATAGACATTAAGAAAAGAAAATACCAGAGAGATAAAGAAGACTATGCAAGGGGGGAAGTTAGAACACATACAAAGAGAAACAATAGGTTTCAGACAAATAATGGCCAAATGGTAAATGATTGGGATAATAGCCAGCACTATTACCGCAGGGGGAGAAACAATAGCCCTACAGTTAGGAGAACACCCTTACGTAATAAACATTTAAAAGACCATAGAAGAGAGAAGTCACAGGAAGGTCTACCACAAAGATCAAAACCACCTGCCAATGTTCAACCACAATGGGAGAAAGTAGTAAGGAGGAAACAATTAAGATCCCCAATTAGACAAAAAGAGAGATCACCAAGATCTAACCTAATGATAAAGAACACTCAAAATATGGATATACATAGAAATAAATATAAAGATAGGGAAAATTCTACACACAATAGATTCTTACCATTGGCGACATCCCAATGGTGAGGATTTTTGGAATGGCCACATGAAGGGACGCCACAAGGACTCCCTTATGCACCATATGTCCCCAGGAAAGAGAAGACGGAGTTTAGAAGAAGGGGAGTTAGAGGAGGGATACGTATACAAAAAAGAAAGGAGGGAAAAATACCCAAGGAGAACGGGATTTTCAACCTTTCTAAACGAGAACTAACTCCATCACAAATAGCATTGTTACAGAAAGGATTGAAGTTCGCACCCACAAAACCACTTGATAAATTCAGCGTATATCTAGATTTAAATAGGTTCAAGAGAAAACTATGTATCAAAAAATTTTTTATGAAGACACCATTAACTAGGGCCCAAGGGATGAGTCAAGAGGGGGATATTGTTCATACGGATTTAAAGGCGAAATCCACATTTTTTCCAAAGGGTTGCATCTCAAATGAG